AGCACCCAAAATTGGCACAAGTAGCTGCTGAGCACCCACTCTTTGCCAGGCAATTAGGATACAACAGTTACAAAAGAGATATGAATACATGAATTACACCCTCTCATCCAGAATACTGCATTTCTCTCCATTCATTCATTCAGGTCATTCTTGTCCTTCAGTTAAAATCATAGTTTCCTTCACACAGGAACCTTGCACATTTCTTGTTTATTCCTCAGCATTTTAGCATTTCTGATACTACATAAATAGGATATTTTTTCTATTAGATTTTCAAACTGTTTACTGATTGTTTGTACATTGCATATTCTCTCTAGCCATCTTACTGAACTCTTGTAGTTCTGATACAAAACTCAAGAGAATTAACAGAAAAACTAAACTACCATTTACAAAGAGAAACTGTTTTCCTTCCTTTCTGTTATTTTTATCTTTTTTCTTCTTATTCTCTTTTCCTATCTTATTGCTCTAACCAAATCCTTCAGAATAATTCAGATGAAGGGCAATGACAGCAGCAACCTTGCCTTTTTATAAACTTTAAAGCATAGTTTGGTAGGCTATTTGCTGTCGGCATCTGGGATATAGTTGTTTGGATATTCCTTGCTAAGGAAGTTTCCTTCTAATCCTAATTGGTTTTGCTTTACTCTTGTTTTCCCCACCAGGAAAATCTGAAATTTTTAGGCTTTTTATTAATCTATAAAGGTAACACAGAGCATTAACGGATTATCTAAAATTGACCTACTGTATTTCTAGAATAATACCTAATCTATCATAGTGTATTATTCTTTAATACACTCCTGGATTTGATTTGCAAAATTAAGGATTTTTATATGAGAATGGTCTATAATTTTGTTTTTTATGCACTTTACACAGCTAGGTTAAGTTATTAATAAGATAAAATGCAAGGAAAGATGAAGAGAGTAATTCATCTGCACATGACAGACGAGAATAAATTTATGACTATGTCTACTAATGTTACAACTTTACAATTATCAAAGCAAAGGTAAAGTTATAATGTAAGTGAAATTTGCCATGATGATTCTAATAAATTTATGTTAAAAATCTGTAAAGTTTTTACATTAAAGTTTTTGAAAATAAAGGAATTTATTTAATTGAGTGGTACACATTTGCTTGCTTTACTACCTATAAACAGCTGGAAGAATAGAAATCAACACTCAAACTTATTTTAAAGCTTAATATATTTTGAAAATTAAGTTAGCTATATTGACTTCCTTATCAAATGCCTTGAAATATCTTTAAATGGCCAATTATTCAAATGCCCATGGCCATCGTGCCCAAAAAAGCCTGCAGCATTATTTGTTTTACTTCCCTACAAACGTGAAGGTCTTAATCAAAATGAACATGAACACCCATGTCGCTGAGCATGTAAAACACCATCCCTGTCACAGGGAAATCACGTATGGGAACCACTCATTGAATCTATTTCCTAACGGATGAAAGAAAGAGATATAATTGAGAGGATACAGTGGGTCAGCAGCAACCCCAGAACTGGAACACAGAGATTGTGACCTCCGATCAGGCTTTTCCCCTTTACGTCACCATCACTGAGGTGGCAAAGAACTTGAGATGTCACCACATCCCCTCACCTGCTTCTTCACTAAGACTGATGAATTCCAACAGAACAACATCCTTTCACAGCTGCTTACCGTGAATACCCTCTCAAATTCATTCAGCGCTCTTTGTCTCAGAAACACCGAACTCAACATCCTTCCTCATTTATTCTCACAACAGTCTCACTGCACAGCAGGATTAGAGTCTGCAGGTGTTGCAAGTGAGACAGAGAAAGTCACAATCTATAGCCAATCAATCTCCTAGTCCTGTTCTTGCTTCCTTCAACTATGTCTGCACCTCTTTTTATAGTAACTAATTTATACCATGCCTTATATTTTCCTTAACTTATGTAAAATGGAGAATGATACTTATTTTATAGAACTGTTATAAGGATTAGTTAATACATTAAAAAATAAGAACAGTGCCTAGCACAAAGTACATCATAAACATTAGCTATTATTTTTATTTTTACTCAGAATTATCTGTGTGCCCAAGGAGTTTCCAGCCCAAAACTTCTGACTACTTTTTCAATGGGAATGTGTCATAACTCCTAAGTCAATGAGGTCCAAAATGTGTTTCACTTGCTCCCCAATCCTGCTCTTTCTTCTCACTTCCCCAGTCCTATTGTCAGGTTACAAAGCTGACATTGATTCCTGCCTCCAATATCTAATCCATTGCTAAGTCTGATCAATTCTAGATATACTTTTTCTTTCCTGTTTGTAAGCACAGTCACCAATTAGGTTGGAGTCATTAATACCTTCCTCAATTTTTTTAACAGCAACTGAGATTAATCTCCCTGCTTTTCTTTTCCTCTCTTCAAACCATTCTTCAGAGCTGCTGGCGTATCTTCTTCCTAAATGACAATTCTTATTTTACTCTGCTATTAAATTGTAATAGCAACCAAAACCTCAAAGGATTCAGCCTTAACAGCGGAATAAAGCCTGAACTTATTACTGGGTCTTCAAAGCCTTCTGGACCCAAACTATCTTGCCAGCCTTCTCACCCACAACACTTCAAAAAGGGACTATTTGCTGTTCTCTGAAAACACTGACCCCACCATGCCCAGAACCCCTTTTTGGCTGCCTGCATTTTCCCATCTCCTTACCTTTGCTCGGATCTTACCCTCATTGAGAGAGTGTACTCCATCTCCGCCCATAAATGTCATTCTTCAAATGCCATTTAGCTGTCTTGTATTATGCCCAAGAAATGCTTTCTCTATTCCCTTTATAGCCTCAGATAATTCTACAGCTGGAATCACCTCACCTTACAAATAACTGTCTGCAAATGCTAAAATCCACTAATCAAGGTGGCCTACCAGTCACACTTAGATAACTAGATAACTAATCTAGATCCAACTTCAAATCCTCTTTTCTTAAATCACATCTGCCCCTCTTTCATAGTATTTAATCATACTTTGTCTTGTATTTTAGTTTATGTAATTATCTGTATCTCAATTCAGTAAGGCAAATTTATTCCAGATATAGAACACTTGAATGAAATAGAACCTCAGATGTTTGTTGAACCAAATTAAAATTCCAACAAAAAATACAGCAATTCAAGATTAACCCAGTGACGCAGTGGGGCAAGAAACAAAAGATCAACTGACTCCATGGTAGCGCCCCTCCTGCCACCCCATAGTAAATGTCACTTTATTATCAAGTCCCTGAACATAGCTAATAATTTCCTTATCTGAGAAAAATAATAGTTGCCATTCTCACAGGCATAAAAGAATATTAAATGAAGTAACGAAGGTAAAACACTTAACACAGTGCCTGATATACAATTTCTGGCACTTAATTTTTAGTCTTGCCCTCCCTCTCCTTTAATATAGCCTGTTCTTTCTACTACCCAGGCCTGCCATCACACCCATCAGCCTTAAAGCCTTAAAGCCTTCCTCCTCTTCCCACCACCTCACTCACAGGATAAAGTCCAACTGCTTGGTCTGGCCTTGTGGACGTTGCCTCCAAGCCCTGTCTCAGCCCAAGGTACCTCTCCACGCTCAGCACCTGCTGCTTCCCACCAACACTTAGGTCACATCAAACAGCACTTGGCTCCCTAAACACACAAGGTGTGCTAAGCCTTCTTACTCTTTTGAACTTTTGCCCATAACATAGTAGTTGAAAAGCATGGGTTTTAACATCAGAACTGGGTTCACATTCCAGCTCTACCACTTAGGATCTATGTGACCTTGGGCAAATCTCAGGGCTTATTCTCAGGGCCTATTTCCTCATCTACAACATGGAAAGATCGATTTTATTAATATATATATATATATACACATACACACACACACACACATATGTGTTCTACCTTACAGTGTTGCTGGGAGGAAGTCAATGAATTAAGGCATGTAATCAGCATCCTGCCTGGCTTCTAGAAAAGGCTTGATCATATTAGCTTTAATTAGTAGCATATGTCTTCACATCTCATAGCACTAACTACATGATACTGTAACTGCCTCTTTACGTGTCTGTCTCCTCAACAGATTACCAACTCTATGAGAGCAGGGAGTATATCTCTTACTTTCCAGTGTATGTGCACGTGGTAATTATTCAAGTATCTCTTGAATAAACGAATGCTTTAAATGTGTCCTGTTACCAAACACCTTCCCAAGGCTATGAGCAAATTCATTCTCCAGTATCTCATTTTCCCGCGGCTTCCTGGCTCCGCTCTAATGCACTCTGCACTGATGACATCACTTTAAGGTGACTGTCTCTCTCCCTTAACTGTGAGCACCTCACAGTCACTCACTTCGAAGAAAGGAAGCTTTGAGGATCAAGCAACGTAAACTAAGTGACCCTGGTTGGTGCTTAGTAAAAAGTACCACTATTATTCACGGAAAAGCACGTCACTGTGTGGACAGGGTTCTAGAGCCACTGCCGGATGCTACAGGGTGGTGCCGGGGGGCGACTCCCAAGGCTGTGGAGAGGACGTCCGGGGGAGCCCCGTGCATGTGCTGGAGGGCGGGGGAAGAGAGACCCGGGGCCCAGGGTGCGCTGAGGTGAAGCAGGGCTGGGCCCAGGCCCGGGAAGCTAGCTGCAGCCCTATGCCACGCTTGCCTGTCCTCCGGACGAGCCTCACCTCCTGCACTTTCAGCTCCTCTAGAGTGGGCAGCTCCACTATCCCCGGCATGACGGCTGCAGCCCAGACCCTGATGAGGAGCCGTCGACCACGTCGACCCCGTCTCCTTGAACTCCCCTTTCCAGCGCCGGTGAGGCCGCACAGCACCTGCGCATGCGCAGCCGACGGCACGCAGGCGCACTGCTCTGCCCAACCGTGAGCGAGGGAGCGTGCGCAATGCCAGGAAGCTCTGCGAGCTCCGCGGGGCGGGGCTTCGAGTCGGCTCCGCCCAGCCTTCCCGGTTGTCATAGTGAGGCCGCATCCACTGAGACTCCGGATCCCAACGTCTGGAAACTATTATAGGAGCCGGCGCCATGCAGTACACCGGGAGCGAATATATCGGGGAATATGTAGATGGGAGGTAAGGGCGTCGTTCGATTTACTACGTCTTCAATATCTGTGACTAGGAAAAGACCCTGTCTTTTTGCGTCTGCGAAGGACCTTGTACCAGACACTCACAAACTTGCCCAAGGAACTTGCTAAAGGACATATACCTAATAAGCAGCAGACCTGAGATCCGTTCTTTCCGTATATACGTGTGTGTGTGCGTGTGCTATCTACCAGTTTTAGATTTAGGAATAAAAATATTAAAGATTTCAAGATCCTTGCTCTCATGGAGTTTATAATCTAGTTGAGGGTGTATTGCCAATGAACAAATAAATGAGAAAATAATTACAGATAGTGACAAATGCTATGAAAACAAACGTGGAGACTGGGGAAGAGGGACTGTGGCCAATGTGATTCCACGTGGTCTCTTCCGTCTAGGAGTTCACAATCTAGGGATCATTCTAGAGGATTATAGACACAAATCACTGTAAGGGACCAGTAGTAAAAGCTATTCAGTTCAACAATGTGGAGTGTCTACCAAGTACCAGGCCCTGAACTTGTCTCTGGGTACAATCCCTGCCCTCAAAAAGTTTATTCAAATGTAGTGGGGCAAGTAGACACAACAATTGCAGATAGCTGCAATTCCGCGTGGGAAGCGCTCCTGTGGGGAGAAGCAGAGAAACACAGAGGTGGCTACTCTTCCTTGCCAACCATCCTGGAATAAGAAAGTGGAATCTCTGTTTTTATAGCTGGGGAAACTGAGGCTGAGCAAGGTGAGGTGGCTTGCCAAACAACTGCTAGTTGTTGGGACTGTGAAGCACTCCTACCTCGGGGCCATGGAAATGGAGAAGGGATGAAAGGCAAGATTTTGGTGGAATCCATCTCTGTATTCACATGTTGGTGGGATTCCAGGGATTTCTGACTTCACAGGAAGGAGGACCTGTGGTCTGGCCAGAGATAGGGGACAGATTCCTAGAGAAGGAGGTAATATTAATATATATGGAAAGCTATCTCTAATCCTTATGTCAGCTTTGCAAGGGAAATGTTATCTCCACCTTAGAGGTAAGAAAAGTGAGGCTTAGAGAGTTTGAGACACGTGTCCAACTCAGCAGGTCAGTGGCAGAGGTGCTTGGTGTGTGCTGCCTCTCACAACTCTGTGAGGTGGTTCAGGCTGATCCTGCAAATAAAGGAACAGATGTTTAGAGAAGCGAAATGACTTGCCCACCGTTATGGGTACACAGCCAGGAGTAATGGAGTCAGAATTTGAACTCGGTCCTGTGTCCAAACCATGTTCTTTTTTTCTACAAGGCTCTGCAAAAGTAAAGGTGGTAGAATGTTGGCAGATGGATATGGGGTATTGGGCATTTTAGACACAAAAATTTGAGAAACTACACATATTTTCAATGGGCTATGTGATGTGAGAGAAAGAAACATACAGACAGGGTCAAAGAGAGAAGGCTCTCAACTATTTGCCTTTGGTGTTTTGTGCATTTTCATTGGGTCTGTGTATTGCATCAGCCATATCCATGATTTTGTCCCTAGGAATCTGTGTTGTACTTGGCGTTTTTTGATACTGCTATAACCATGATAGGGATTCCCAGACCTGAATAGGGCTCTTCAACTTCCCATAACCAGCAAGAAGTCAGTTGTTTTGCTTGTCATATTTCTTTTCATAATTTGGCCATATATTCTGTATTGATTTTGTTTTTCAACAACCGTTAACTAGAGTCATAATGGGGCCTTTCAAGTTTCATCATGTGATGAAAGAGACAGGATAGTAGAGGAAAAAAGGCTTCAGCATGAGACAGGCTAGGGCTCAAGTCTGACACTTAATTTGTTTTGTACACTTAATTAACCATCCAAGCCTCAGTTTCCTCATCTGTAAAATGGGAAAATAATGCACATCCAGCATAAGTGTTCCAAGGAGTATGTAACGTAGTATATATGGATGTTATTTACATGTGGTGGATACTCAATAGATTTTTTTTTAATTTGGGGAGGGAGTATTTTTCTTTTAGAGTTTAAATGAATAGAGTAGCTTCTCTATACAGTAGAAAGTTGATATTTAACATTTGGTTTAAAAAGTTCATGTAGACTCTTTACTGCTGGTGCGAATGTAAAATAGTATAGCTGCTTTGGAAAAGTTTGGCAATTTGTTAAAAGAAAGTTAAACAGGCAAGGTGTGGTGGCTCATTCCTATAATCCTAGCACTTTGGGAGGCCAAGGTGGAAGGATGGCTTGAGGCCAGGAGCTCAAGACCAGCCTGGGTGATAGTGAGATCCCGAGAATCTCTACAAAAAATTAAAAAATTAGCCGGGCGTAGTGGTGCACACCTGTAGTCCCAGCTACTCAGGAGTCTGAGGCAGGAGGATCACTTGATCCTAGGAGTTTGAGATTGAGTGAGCTATTATGATACCACTACACTAGTCCAGGCAACAAAGAGAGACAATGTGTCAAAAAAAAAAGAAAGAAAAAGAAAAAAGAAAAAGTTAAAACAGCCACTGTACTCCTAGGTATTTACCCTGCAGATGAAAGTATATATCTATACAAAGACACATATATGAGTGCTCATAGCAGCTTTATTTATAATAACCAAAAACCAGAAACAACCATATGTCCATCAACAGCTGAATGAAAAAACACATTGTGGTATATCCATTCATTGAAAACTACTCACTCAGCATGAAAAGGAGTGACCTACTGGTACATACACAACATGAATGAATCTGAAAAGAATTATATTCAGTGAAAGAAGCCAGACCAAAAAAAAGTACATGCTGTATGATTTCACTTACATAAATTCTAGAAAATGCGAGCTAATCTATGGTGACAGAAAGCAGATCAGTGGTTGCCAGGAGATGAGGATTATGGGGAGGTGCAAGCAGAAATAATTAGAGCGGCAAGCAGAAGCTTTTGAGGGGAATAGATATATTAATTATCTTGATTGCGATGATGGTTTTCCGGATGTGTGTCAAAACTTATCAGATTGTACACTTTAAATGTTTAGTTTTTTGTATGTCAATTATGTCTTCAATAAAGCTGTTTTTTTTTAAAAAAGTTAAAAGACACATGATTTTCCTGTACCACGTATGGATATAAAAAAATAAAAAGTTAATATAGGATCTATCTGACCTCAAGAGCGTGGTTTCTCTGGCATAGTTGCACAATGGAGTTCTAGATAACTCCGCTGCAGAGCACCACAAGGTAAGTGCCAGACGAGGCCTACAAACACAGGGGAGGAAGGGAGACCAGTAACATTTATGCAGCAACCACTATGCTCCAGGTGATTTTGCCTGCATCTTCCCCTCCTCCCAGGAACTCTATGAGACATCATCGTTCTGTTTTACAGACAGGAAAAGTAAGGCTCAGAGTAATTATATAACTTGCCCAAAGTCACCTAGTTAGCATTTGGCAGAGCAGGGGTGACAAGCCAGGTGTCTCAGACTCTAAAGCCTAGGTGCTTTCTACTATAGAGCCCTGCTGCTGGGCCCCAAGAAGACACATCCAGTTAGGGTAGTCCTCAAAGGCTTCATGGAGGAGACAATATTTGATTTGGACCCTGAAGATTGTATAATTGCTTCATTGTGTCCCCCACTAGACTGTGAGCCCCCTGAGGACAGGAACTGCATCTGCCTTGATGAGTGTTGTATCTGTGTTGTATCCAGCAGATCAGATTCTCAGCACAGCCCCTGGCACATAGTAGGTGCTCTGTAAATATTTGTTGGAAGGAAGGAAGGGAGACAAACAGAGAGGTTTGGGAAAGTCTCCAAGATGATACATCTAGAAAATGGTGAACTAAGATTCAAACCCTTATCTCCTGTCTCTAAATTTCATATTTTTCCTAATATTCCACCTGTTGTACAATTGGCAGGGGTGGGCCAGTTGCGGGGGACAGGGAAGACAGAGAACCAGCTGCCAGTGACCTGGGCCTTAGTCTCTGCTTCACAATTTTTACTGTGTGGCTTTGGATACATCCCTGCCCTCTCTGGGCCCACCAAGGGGGTATTTCAAGGGGCAGCATCAACTCCAGGACAGCCTCTAGATGAGGGGGAGGATGAACAGAACAAACTCCACTCCTCCCCCAGCCTTAAACAACAGAGCCCCTCTCAGTTTTGAGCTTCTGAGGGAAACAAAACACAAATTGTGTTTTTTGAACAGAATATTGCCGGGACGATAATGTCTGAGGATGCCTAGGGTAAGTTTCCCACTCGCTCTCCCTCGCCTGCCAGCTCTGATCCTCCAGCTGTAACGCAGGGCTCAGTGACATCCCCGTGTCTTTGCAGGATGGAGGGCAAAGCTGAGTACATCCTCCCTACTGAAACAAGATATGTTGGGGAAATGAAGGACGGCATGTTTCATGGCGAAGGAACCCTGTACTTCCCCAGCGGGAGCCGATACGACGCCATCTGGGAAAAGGGATTGGTTGTACAGGTGACCAGCCAGGGGCTGCAGGGGAGAGGTCCTCGGGCAGGAAGAGCCCCCACTGCTGTGGCACCTTGCCCTCCCTGTGTGGTGCCCGCCTCCTTCCATGCCCTCTTCTCCCACTTCTTCATCTCTCAGGGCTCTAGAACCTTCTCCTTCTAGATCTGTAAGGGCCCCCGGAGAGGCCATGATGTGTTTGAATCTGTTTTGCCACTTACTGCCTGATCTTGGGCCCATGACTTTACCTCTCTGAGACTCAAGTTCCTCCTCTATAAACTGGGGACAGTAGTTGTATTAGTTACCTATCACCGCTGTAATAAATCACCACAAGTTTAGTGTCTTAAATCAGCACAAATTTATTAGCTTACAGTTCTGGAGGTCAGAAGCCTAAAATAGGTCAGCAGGGCTGCGCTCCTTCCAGAGGCTCTCGGGGGGAAACTGTTCCCTTGCCTTTTCCAGCTTCTAGAAGCTGCCCGCAATCCTTGGCTCGTGGCCACACACCACTCCGACCTCTGCTGCCATTATCATCTTGTCTTCTCTCGCCCAGACCTTCCTACCTCCCTCTTGCAAGAGCCCTGTGATTACACTGGGTACACCCAGATAATCCAGGATAATTTCCCCACTTAAAATCCTTAATTTAATCGCACCTGCAGAGTCCCTCTTGCCATGTAAGGTAGCATATTCAAAGGTCCCAGCAGACAGGGGGACCATTATGCAGCCTATCAAAATAGCACCTCCTAGGACAGTTGTGAGAGTAAATGGGGCGTTATATAGGAGCGCTTTGCTAAGATCCTGGCACACAATAAGTGTTAGCTCTTACTATTACTACCACCACCACTGCTACTATCATTATAAACCATCTAATCCAAGCGTTCTTAACCTGGGATCTGTGGGCCATGAATACAATCTGGGGGTCAGTGAAACCTCTTGATTTACATACGAAAGTTTCTATGCATATGGGACAATGTTTTTCTATGGGAAAAGGATCTATAGTTTCCATCAGTTTCACTGTGGGTGTGTTGGGGCCTGACTCATGACCTAAAAAAGGCTAATAAACACTCCTTGTTTTATAACTTGGAGAATCCAAGCCCCAGGAAGGGGATGTGACTTACCCAAGGTCACACAGTGAATTAATAGTATTGTTGGAATTTCCACCCAAGTTTCCTGATGCCCAGGCCAATGCAGTTTCTACATCCTGAGGCTTGCTTTAGCACTAAGGCAACAAAAGGAGAATGTATGTGTTTGGACAAAGAGCCGCAGCTGATGGCTCTAACCTTTCTAGCTATGATGATAATGAAAGAATAATAATAACATTTATTGAGTGTTTACTATATGTCAGTGTGTTAGTCAGAGTTCTTCAGAGAAACAGAACTGATAGGATATATATATAGACATATAGAAAGAGATTTATTTTGAGGGATTGGCTCATGAGATGGTGTAGGCTAAGAAGTCCCACAGTCTGCCCTCTGCAAGCTGAAGGCCCAGGAAAGCCATCAGTGTCATTCCAGTCCAAACCTGAAGTCCTGAGAACCAGGGGAGTTAATGGTGTAAGTCCCAGAGTCCAAAGGCCCGAGAACCAGGAGTGCTGACGTCCAAGGGCAGGAGTTGGATGTCCCAGCTCAGTTAGAGTGACTGGCTCTTCCTCCACATTTTTTTTTTCATCCACCCCCCTCCCCGCTGAACCTGCACCTTTCTTGTTCTATTCAGGCCCTCGATGGATTAGATGATGCCCCCTCACAGTGGTGACGGTGAATCTTCTTTACTCAGTCTACTAACTCAAATGCTAATCTCTTCTAGAAACACCCTCCCAAACACACCCAGAAATAATATTTTACCAGCTATCTGGGCATCCTTAGCTCAGTCAAGTTGACACATAAAATTAACTATCATAGTCAGACACATGCCAAATGCTTTACATGTGCTATGTCATTGAATAGTCAATCAATCCTATTAAATATATACCATCATTGTCCTAATTATACAAGTGAGGAAGCAAAAGTTCAGAGAGAGTAGGTCATCTGCCCGAATGCACACAGTGAGTTAACCTACCGTGAGTAGCAGGCACAGAGGTCTGCGCTTTATACCCATTCTCTCTAAGTGTCACAACCATAATAACCGTGATAGTTACCACTTCCTTTCTGTGGCAATGAGAAGGCCACCTCTTCACTTGACATCCAACCTTCTTGGCAAAAAGGCTTCAGCTTCCTCAGAGGCATGTGCGCGCTCCTTGCTTTCCAGGGCACATACACCTTTGCAGACGGGCTGCAGTACGTCGCGAAGAACTGGCATTACTGCGACGGCTACGATCGGAGGTTTTACACTGAGATCTGCAATGGCTTGAAACCTGCAGGTACCAGGCACTCGCCCATTTCTTCGCAGCCAAACACAGAGGGAAACTAAAGACAGTTTTAAATACGTGGGCTGTGGCCTACTGAATTAGCTCAAAGGAGAAGGGGAACTGAGCAGGTGCAGCAGAACACAAAAGAGCCAGCTCTTGGGACCAGGAAGGCCAGTCCTCACATCTCAGCTCCACTGTACTAGCAGAGGACAAGGGACGTCACCCCTCTGTGCCTCAGTTTCTCCCCTTTAAAATGGGGACAATAGCATTTCCCTCATGAGATTGTAAATAAGACAATTCATGTAAAGTGTTTAGAACAGTGTCTTGCATGCACGTAAGTGCACAGTACACATCAGCTGTTCTTATTTGTAATACCTACTGTAACACTAAAATTGTGTTGATATTTTAAAAAGAAAGAGATGAGGGCAAAAGCAGCATTGGCAGAGCACATGCTCTGTGTATCAGGTGCCAGGTGAGGCTTCTGTAATCCCTGTCTCCTTGAATGTCCAGATGGCCCTGCCCGGTAAGGCTTCCTAGTCCCATGTCCTAGAGGAGAAAGTTGAGACCATGGAGTCAGATGTGTTTCCCAGTGACAGAGCTCACCCTGGAGCCCCAGTCTTCCTCTCTGGGATCCCCTGTGTCATGCTACCTCCCTTCAAAACCCATGTTCCATCAGAGAGGGTTATGTTTGGGCCAAGGGTCTGGATTCAAAGAGTGGCAGCTTAAGGGGCTCCTCTGTGTTTCTGAGACTTGTGAAGGCCAGGTGAACCTCAAGAGGAGCGTAGTTTGGGGTACTGCAGAGACGATAGATCCAAAACAGCAGGTGGGAAACTGACTTTGTAAACTGTAAAACCAATTCCAACTGAAGTTATGAAAGATAGTGTGGTGTAGGTGACAGAGCATGGGGCCAGAAGGTCGGGGGTTGAGTCCAGAATTCTCTCTCTATAGCTGGATGAGCTTGGACGAGTCAACCTCCATCAGGGCGGAAACCTCCAGAAAGCACCCAGACGCTGGAGTCAGGCTGACCTGAGCTCAAACCCCAGCTCCTTCACTTCCTGGCTTCGAGCCCTGGGATGAGTTAATTGAGCCTTTGCTCCCTTCTCCCTTTGCTTTTCTGACACCGACTCTCCCATTTTCCTCCTGTCCCTCCTCTCCTCTGCCAGCGCTTCCTCCTCAGTTATTAATCTTGGGGTCCCTCAGCGTTCTCTGGCTTAGACCTTTTTCTGTTGTCATTCTATTCTTTCTCCCTAAATGAGATGATTCACTTCTAAGCCTTCCACTACCATCAGCTTCCAAATTGAAATCAGAATCTCTGAGCCTCATATTCCTGCATCCGGCTTGCCCGACACCTGTGTTGACCATCCCCTAACGTGTCTGCACCGAATTCATCATCTGCCCCCAGCCCGCTGCCCCTCAGCGATGGCCCCCTCAGTAAACGTCACGTCCATCCACCTAGGGAAGCCTAATCCTTCCTTCCGCTGTCCCCCGTGTGCAATCAGTCACCTGGCCCTAGGGATTTTACCCCTTAAATATAATCTTTCATTTGCCATTCGACAAATATTTACTGAGCACCTCCATGTGCTGGGCAGCGTTCTCTGCGTCCTCTCTACCACCGCCCTATTTCAGACCTCCATCATCTCTCCTCTCCACTACCTGACCCCGAGATCTCCACTTGACCCTCTCGAGGTCATTCCCCACCTGGCCACCCCACACCCTTCAGTGCTTCCTACTACCCTCAAGACAAGTTTCCAATTTCTCGAAATGACCGACATTTTCTGGCTCCTGCTGATGTCCCCAGCCTCGCCCTGGGCCACCTACCCTTCTTGGCTTTTCTCTCTCCTCTCTTGCCATGCTTGCTTTCTCTTTATTTCTCAAAGAGACCACACTGTTTCCTGCCGTTCCCTCTGCCTGGCATACTCTAATGCTCTCACTTCACCCAAATAACTCCCTCCCATCCTTCAGGCCCCAGCTTACCTGAACTCCCAGACTAGGTGAGGTCTCCCCGTGGCATATCACAGAGCAGCCATGACCCCCTCCGGAGGTCGAATCCTGAGTGTTCAGCATCCATCTTACTGAGCCAATTGTGAGCAGCACAAGGGCAGGGCCGTGGTACATTGCCTGGTATATAATAGGCGCTCAATAAAGAGTTATTGTCAAACAGGGATGATATTGACACCACTGTGGGGGGTGAGAGATACACTTAGGAGAGTTAAGCCCACCACATTGGCAAACGTTGCCTGAACATCTACTCTGCGTTAGACATTGGCTGGCTCCAGGGAGACCCAGAGCTGAGAGGACACTGTCTCTGCCTTCAAAGAGCTGCCACTCTAGATGCAACTTGAACACCCTGCAAATCACTCCTGGGTTAGATGGGGCCCGGACTTTGTCATGAGCTCTTCATCCCAGCTCAGGCCTATGGGCACAGAGCCCTCAGCCTCAGGCCTCAGCTCTCACACTGCGGCTGCTTTTGCCAGTCTTGAAGGCTGAGTGATGGCCTTCCCTGCACCTGCCTGCCCCTCCCCTTCCTCCAGGGCTGCCCAGCAGAGGAGCTTTACCCTAAGTAGCCACTTCCTTCCCTGTTACTCTGCATTTTGCCTCAGGGGCAGGCATTGTCGGGGTGACAAGGGTGCCCCATGACCTCTCTGGGCATCCGTGAGATGGTCATTGGCATGAGGCTTCGGTAAAAGAATGACTATAAAGCACTTGGCAGGGAATCAGTGCTCAGTAATCATTAGCCAGTATTCATGGGGTTAGGGTTAGTGTCAGGGTCAGGGTCAAGTTAGGGTTGGGTATATTGTTAACCAACACAAGAGCGCCTACTGTGTGCAGGACACTGAATTGTGAACGTAGTGCTGCTGTTGTGCTCAGTGGGCATCCAGCTCTCAGTCTAGAGGACAGGGATTATAGGAAATACAATCAGAAAGGAACCTGAGAAGTTATGTATTCCAACCTCTCCCTTTACTCAGGCCACAGCATTGCAAGACAGACATGCACAGGGTGCATGACATAAAAGGTGACTCCTCTTTCCCTCCTGGGGGTCCCAGTGTCCCCAGTCCTGGGATCATGCCTAGGCCCTCTCTCCTCCCGTGATGTTGACAGCTGAACACACAGGTTCCAGAGCTGGGCTGCTCTCTAGGTGGATAATCTTGGGAACATTACTTTACCTCTTTGAGCCTCAGTTTGCTTATCTGTAAAATGGGGCCACAGGGTTGCTCTCAGGATTAAATGAAATAGTAGGAGCATAATGCCAGGCACATAATAAACATTCAATAAATGGTAGCCACTGTGATAATTTTGGTGAGAATGAAGGTTCTCTACTACTTGCCCCTTGTCCCCCTGGCCTGTTTCTTTCCCACTGCTCTCTTTTGTGCATGCTCTGCTCCGCAAGCTGTCCTCAGTGAGGGCTGAGGGTTCAATGCCTCTGGCCTTTGCCCACACTTCGAATGCCATCCCTCTCCTGGACCAGCCCTTCTCTTCTGCTGGCCAACTCTGACTCATCCTCAGAGTCTCTCTGAGTCCAGATCCTGTGCCCATTGTCATGGTATCCCCAGAAAGGGAGGAGGATAAGGTCAAGGTAAGAAGACAGGGGTTAGAGAGCCATTTTCAGGAAGCTCTTTGGGGCACTGTTCCTGCTGTTTTTGCTCCTTACCCTGAATCAGGAGTGTTTAGTCCTACAGTAGAGCCAGATAGTCACATGAGCACCCAGCCAAAAGTAGACCTTACGGGGGCATTGGGTTTGGAGTTGGCCTTGATGGTCAACTAATTGCCCATTATGCCCCTTCAAGGTATCTCTCAACTCACCAATATGGACCCACCTAGAAAAATCCCCACGGGCTCTTATGACTGTGGAGATGGCTTCTACAACCCGGTCACGAGGATAATCAAGGACTACAAGGGTCGCTTCCTGAGGAATGCAGGTATGTTTATTCCAACACTCTGCAGCGTGTTTCTTTTCATCCACACGTAAGGTTGTGCATGTGTGCACACACACGTGTGCGCATTTGGTGAGAAAGAAGCTTTCACTGATAAAAGAGAAAAATTGATTATCTGAATGTTTCACTCATTGGACTTCCCGTGGCCAGAAGGTCTGTACATAGTCATAGAGTGAGGTAAAGGACATTCATGGTCTAACTGTGGCAGCACATATGTGCGGCACTGAAAGGATTACTTATTTTTGCACGTATTCCTTCAACTAGTATTTAACGGACACCTACTGTATGCTAGACCCTATGCTTGGCGCCGCGGTAGAGCAGAGCAAAGGGGGACATGGACCCCTTCCTCGTGGAGCTTATATTCTAACAGGCAGCAGACAAGAAGTACACACAGTGGTCACATCATGGAATAAGCCCCGTGAAAGGGAAAAACGTGGTCCTGGGGGAGGGGAAATGGGGGCCCCAGAGAGGTGGGGGTGATGCCGTGGGAGCATCAGGAAGGGGGACCTAACTGGTCGGTCAGAGAAGTTCTCAGGAGGGAAGTGGTACGTACTCCGAGACCTGAAGACCAACTGGGAGTGGACCACAAGGCAAGGAGAGAGGGCTTCCCAGCCGGGGCAACAGCGCAGGCACAAGCCTATGACTGGAGGCTCCAGAACGTCAGTGTGGTGAGTCAACCCAAGGCCCATCAGACTGAGAAGGACCAATTTACAGTGACCAAACTCATGGGAGACCAATATTCAAATAAAAACAGGAGCAGTGTTCTTCAATGCAGTGATTCCTAACCTTTCTCTTTTCTGGAGTCACACTCCCACCAGAAGTAACAAAAGCTATGGACCGTCTTGCCAGAAAAATGCCCACACATGTATGCACACGTGCACACACACACGCACACATTTTGCGTATAGTCTTAAGGGACTGAAGGTCCCTCCAAAGGCCCAGGTCAGGACACCCGCTCTCTAATGAGAAAGAAACTGCCAGAACGCCTGTGCTGGCTGACGGGAGCATCCTCTCCCTATGGGGAAATTCACTCAGCCACTGGATGATGATCAAGGTTGCCTTGTGGGGCTGGAAGGAGGGAAAAGGGAACTATCGCTGATCCTGTGGCTGGAGTCCTGGAGCCGAGATGCCCCCGACCCACCGAGTGCCACTGGAGGAACATGGCGCCTGCGCACGCCCAACTTGCCAGCTCACGCTTCCTTCCTGACTCCCCTTTCTCCACGAACACAGCGGACCACTCTGCAGGACCCCGATTCTGCTGGATGTGGACAGGCCCACCAGGAAGTTTCTTAGTCAAATAAGTGGGGGAGACGCTGTTAAACTAACCAGGGCCTGTTTACTGAAGGGCCTTTCAGGGCTTTTAACATGCTAACATCCCTGTCCTTTCCCCCCGTGGCACTTATTTCAGTGTAATTAAACACTCGTTTCTGTAATTGTTTGCTTAACGGCTGTCTCTCCCCCTAGACTGCAGGACCCATGGGGAAGGGTCTCTGTCTTGTTTCTCCTCCTATTAGTAAGGGTCGGTCAGAAAAACAGAAAGAATCGAGTATCAGGACATCGGTTAAATGGCTACTGGAGAATGAAACAAGCAGAAGGAGGACGTTGGGGAGTAACAGAGAAAGTAACTGCAGGAAGCAGCCACCACCTCAGGGACTTGACAACGGCAAGAGACGGGGCTACGAGAACCTAGAAGGTTGATGGAGGGACCCCAAGGAATTGCAACGCAGATCTCTGAGAGGAGGGGACTGCAAGGCTGGGGCTGGCTCCTTGGCAGCTCAGAGGAGGGGGCCCTGCAGAGCTGGCACCCGGACCCCTGAGGACAGAGCCTGCCCAGCGGCGCCTCGGAAGAAAGCAGTGAAGCCGATTCCATAGCGTGGAATCAACCTGGAAGCTGCGGGTACAATGCCATTGCCGAGACCACACTGGTGTGAACAACAAGGAAAACATAAAGGGGCGTGTCTCCTCTGTCTCCATTTGCCTCCCGAGCCCCTAACGGCAAGCCTGCTGGGAACACAGAGATTTAGACCTTTCCAGTCCCAGCATTGCAGAGCAGAGCACAGAGGGCCAGTTTGGGGCTGAGAGTCAGTAGCTTCTAACAGCCCATCCACCCCTTTTGTTGCTCAGCGCCACACCCACTCTTTTACAGATATTAAGACTTTTGGACAACAATGGTAACAAATGTATGCTTTTTGTATAATAAGTTGCAACTCTCCTTCATATTAATACAAAGATACTCTCACCTTCCCCACAAAAAGGGAGCGGTGAAGCCCCAACAGACATTGTATCCATCTTTGAGCGAGGCTGCCCCTAGGCAGTCCTGCCTGAATGTTCTATAACCTGCAAGCCACTGCCAACAATCCTTCTATGAAATTGTAAGGGGGAAAGAGGAAAGAAAAGAAAAGAAATTCGTTAATAAAAACAAGTGTGCATTTATAGGTAAATAAACAGAAAGATAGGTGATACAGATGCAGATATACATACACATACAAGCAAGGCGGAAAACTGTTTGACTGCTACAGTTCTCTTTCTGTAACTGGTCAGGGGCCTGGAGTTAACATTTATAAATTCCTTCTTGTATTACCCATTCCATGTTCTGTTTGCCTTCAGCCTACACTTCAACTGGTCGAGTTTTTACCCAGTAGGATCACCCAAATCTTCATTCTTAAAGGGTCTGAATCCTTACTGATCCTGGGTTTTTTTGGTTATTTAGTTGATTGGTTTAGTTTTTCATTAACTTTGACTATTGGCAATGGAAGAACTAAAAGGTGCGCTGGAGAACCCCTGAGTTCCAGACAGCATCCCTTCCCCCGAATGCAGAGCAGCAGCCCAGTCTCCGCTGGCAGTCGGGAACAATCACTCCAGCCAGTACGGTATCCACCTCTTTGCTTGCTGTTTCTGTGGTGTAAGGAGCCAAAATGGCCAGGTGGCTGTTTCGACTTCCAGTTCAATGGAACCATCATTGTGTCACCTGATGGGACCATTCCTCTTTGAGAACAAAGACCTTTGAACCAATGAAGTTCAAAGTCGCAGGACAGGAAACAAAAACTCTGCTTAAAACCTGGCACACTGCTGTGGCCCCAGCATCGAGCACAGGCCCAGGCACACAGTAGATGCTCTGTATGTATATCTGAAACAAATAAATTAAGGAATGAATGTGTGCTATGAATCTCTACTACAAAGATATGTCTGCATCATTTCCCAAATGTATCTGACCACAAAATTCGCTAGGAGGTGGGCAGTGGGGAGCATTTTATTAAACTAGGGTTCTGTGGAATATGCTTGGGGGATTCTCCGTTAGCATAATCTTTATTCAGTTGTGGTACAATGCAACCGATCCATTTTCAGCTTTTTAGGTTTGAATTATATTCTAGTCCTGCCTCGCCTAGATGACTTCCCGGTCCTATGGAGATTCGCAGTCTAGTGGTAGAGACAGACACTGAAACACAGTTAGGATATAATGTGATATGGGCCCTGGTGGAGGGAAGCCCTGGAGGATGAGGGGGGATTGAGGAGGGGGAGTGAGCACCTGGCTGGGATGAAGGGTGTCAGTCAGGGAAAAAAGGTCACAGACATGATGAATCTTAAAGAAAGAATAGGGATATCATGAGCAAGAATGTGGGGGAAGGGCATTCCAGACAGAAGGAACAGCATGTGCAAAGAAACAGAGGCATGAGGAAGCGTGGTGTGACTAGGGAACCAGAAATGGTGGTTTCCAGAATCCTGTGGGCAGAAGAAGCCATGCATAGCACTAAACTTAAATATGCATCGTGGGAAGGGAAGGCCATTCTTAGGAAGTTTGGAGAAGGATGGATGCTGACGATTGCTTGGTTCACAAATATTTATTGAGTACTTGCTATGGGTCTGGCTTCATGGTAAGCATGGAAATGACCGCAGCGTCACAGAATCTTCTCTCACTGACCAGGAGAGACTGACAGCAAAGCGGATCCTAACAGTACAGCGTTGTAGGCATACCTGACGCTGGAGCTCAGCGGGCCAGGGAGGTTTCCCGGAAAAAGAAAGATCTACTCTGAAACCTACAGCGGAGCAGACAAATGCAGCAGTGGTGGGAAGAGTGCTAAAGGCAGAGGGAACAGTATGTGCAAAAGGATTAGGGTTGGGAGAGGACGTTTCACATCTGGGGAGCTACAGGTAGTTCAGGAGCATGAAATGAAAATATGTGAGAAGAAGCCCAAGAGCTGGCAGGGGTGAGGGCAGTAGCAAAGACCCTGGGTGTCTTTTCACCATAAGGCAGTGGGGAGCAAGGGAGGGTTTTAGGCAGGTAGCGTGGTAACGGGTTTATTCTTTAGAAAGATTTTTCTGGTTATACATAGAGAAGAGGCCAAAGGGGCCCAGGTGGTGAGATGAGTGTCCTGGGTTCCGAGTCCTGGCCCCAGCCCTCTGCTGGCTGATTCTGGACCAGTGCCTTCCCTCTCTGGGCCGCCTTCTCTTTATCTGTAAAATCAGATGGTTGGGCTGGATAATTTCTAGGGTCCTTCCAACCTTAAGTGAGAGTCTATGATGGAGGAGAAAGGTAGCCGAGGGGTATTTTGGTCCTGATATTATAGGACGGATCAAGTTCGGAGTGTCCTGAAAACCACTAAAAAGGAGTCTCTGTTTGTGGTCACCTAGTCATTTCCCCTGACTCACCTCACCCTGCAAGGGACAGATCCAGGCTTCTGTCCCTCTTCTGTTTTCCCTAAGTCCGTTTCTCCCCACATTCCGATCTGTCCCCATAAACAGTGCTTCCTGTTGGCATCCTGAAGGCACGGGCTGCTGGTCCTGCAGCTTGGGCTGGGTGACTGAGGCCATCTCAGGCTCAACACAGCAGCCTCAGCCACGGCTATTACAGGACGCACATGCCACCTGGGTGTGTCAGAGCCAGGGATGCTCATTTTGTAGGAGGTCATGGGCTGGGCACCAGCAGAAGAGCCGCCTCTGGCTCACCTTCG